ACAAGCTGTATGAATTCGTTATGTGGATATCTCCTCCCTCTTAACATGAAAACTGTTCTGCATTTGCTACTGCTTTGGCGAATTGAATATTGCTCATCTTTTTTAACTTTATGACCTGAGAAGGAAAGATGAAGTGTCTTTGACCTGTAGCTGTCGCTACCCGTGACCTGTTATTAAGATGACGTCTGTTTTTCTTAAAACGCCGAATATCTTTTCATCTTATGCTTATACATTCAGTTTCTTATTTTTACTCCAAGTATAACATATCATTATCCATATAGATGCCTAGAACTCTGCTTCTACTATCTCTTACTTTGGTAGTCGAGTCGATTAACGATTTGGCATGGTATTCACCTGTAACGAGATCTGTTCCAATCGATCTACAACCACTTTCTGCTAAGGCTGATCTGTGTTCAGTAAGTGACTGTTGTATAACTTTACTAGGTATTATTCTAGCTTCCACCAGATATAGGAGGATGTTCCAAGGAATTAATAAGATATTATTATGATTCCACTGCGGATGAGTGTAAAAGATTTATATTTTCGTGAGTTCAGTTTGTTTTATTGTTGCACAACTTATTCAGAGGATGCGGAGGAAACTCCAACCGATTCATGCGAAGAACTCACTGCAGAAGTCGATGTCTTCAGAAGAAAGCTAACACCGATAACTTTTTGAAGGTTTTTATCATCTTTACGATAATTTCAAATCTTGATCTGCGTAGGAATCCAAACATAGAAGGACACTCACGACCACCGTGACTCCTAGCACAGTACAGACAAACCCCACAACCACAACAGTGGCAGCTACTACTCTAGCAGCAGTTACTAGGCCTGTTCAGAAGATTAACAAAACTAAAGTAATATTCTAATCCTGGTACATAGAACCATTTATTTCAGATTACTCCTTCAATTAGAGAATGTCCTCACTGTGATCCAATCTATGGAGTGTGTGTTGATGGAGACTGTGGTTGTATTCCTGGATTCAAAAAACTTGGAAGGATTTGTATTGGTAATGTCAATCATGTTTTTATTAAAGAATGAAGAAGGCTTGAAAGTCATATATTAAAATAGAATTTTGAAAAGAACGGAAGACACATGCTCCGATGAAGTTTTGTCGGATGTTTCATGACGGATGTTGCTATGCATTTGAAAATACTTTGTGATCATCCGAAATGCATGAAGATGTTCAGGTTGTTCCTTGAATATCATTACTTCCCTTTGAGTCTGATTTTAATGTCTCTTTGCGAGAAAAATGAGACATTCGAGTTGCAATCAGTTTGAAGGACATTAAAGTAGTCGTTAAAGCAGCTCGATGTGATCACGATAATCAACAATTCAATCTTTACAGATATTAATGAATGTGCTTCTGAGAACATCTGTCCATTCAATTCAAGATGTGTCAATACCATTGGATCGTATCGATGTGATTGTGATTCTGGGTTCACGAAAAACGGTGAATGTCTGGTCACAAAAGGTTCGTCCCTCATCTTGCCAACGTTACTCAATTACTCACTAGATGCTTGTACCGATGTCTTTGACATCAATTTGACCGAAGAAGATTGTAATAATGGAGAGCAACTTATTAGGTTCTTTCAAAATTTATAATCCAGATAGACAGTTTGATACTTAAGGTACTACTTCGATCATGATTCACTCAGATGCAAGCAATTCTTCTACGGTGGATGTAAATCAACAAGCAGAAACATCTTTTCTGATGTTCAGGTGAAATTTCGACAATTCTATTCTGATCTTTATTATTTAAATTTCAGACTTGTGATGAGCTTTGTGCGAGCATTCCTCGTGAAGAGCTGAAAATTGTGTCATTTGGAGATTTGGCTGAACAGGTTCTCCATTCCTATAGTAATCTTAATATACAAAGAAAAAAACTCAGAAAGAAATTGTAAATGAAATTCCAATGAAATTGAATTTGGACATCAAAAGCGATACTGAAACAACAACAGTACCAATAGAAATACAACAACAAGAAGTTGATAAAATAGAAAAAATCATGAAAGACATAACTCCTAATGAAAGTAAGAGAAACAACATGATAACAGTTTTATTTTTCTGTTTGAAGATGTCTGTCTGCGTGATTTTGATGAAGTCCTTCGTCTCGAGTGTGTAACTGCTGATTGGAACGAGAAGTTCTTCTGGAATTATGAAATGAGGGTATGCATATGAGCGTTTCTTATTTCTATTTCGTGTTTTTAGGAATGTGAACCCTTTTGGTATGATATATCCTGTGATCTCAGAGATAAAGCTGGGAAGAACTTTTTCGAATCTCTTGAAACGTGTCAAAAGACATGTCATGAAGAAACTGAGACTGTTCATGTAGTCGAACCAAGCAAGAAAGTAATCGAATTCCCACCTTTTCACCCATCAATCGAAAATCCACAAGTCGAAGAACATCCTCTGACAAGACTGTCTTATGCTCAGAAAGATACCAGTGTCGCAGATGAAACAACGGTTACGACTACTAATTACATCGACTCAACTTCAGTACCGTTGGAGCAGAAATTCGGAGACGTTTCTGAAGAGACTTTCCATTTGCAACATCGTCTTCAATATCCTCTACCATCAGAAGAAAGTCAAACTTTAGCGACTGACGAAATGGAAGAGTATGATAGTGAAGAGGTGACGAAACCCCCGATATATCGACATCCTCTAGAAGACATCCCCATAGAAGAAGATGTTCCTCCAAAACCATCCAGAAAATTGAAAAAGAAAGTGAAATTACCAATCTCCGGAAATATTGTTAGTATGACAACATCAACCAAATTCCCAGAATATTTTGCAACGGAAGCTGTAACAACCCAACCTATCGAACTAACAACGGCTGAACTTTTACCGGAAACAACGCCATTCATCAAGATCATAACGCTTCCAACTACAGTACGACTAGCACCTGGTCCGCGTATGGATCCAAGTTCTTTAGTAACAAAATCAGCTCCTTTATCGAAGTTCGACAGACAACAGTATATGTTGGAGTTTAAGAAGAAACTTATGGCTCTGCCTGATGATGCAGCAACGTCGATGAGTGAACCTCAATTCGTTTTAAAATCAGCGTCTTCAAAACCTAAAAGACCCTTGTTCACTCTACCTCCATCAGTATTTGAAGAGCCAACAACCGCATTACCAACACCAGCAGTTACTCATCGCCATCGATTGCATCACCACCGTGATTCTAATGATATTTTATCGACACAAAGAGACTTACCTACTACAGTAGAACCTGATTTTGTTTCTAAAGAAAAAACAAAGGTAGAAACAACATTGAAAGAGCTCAAACAGATGAATGATTTATGTGAAGAACCTCTCCATCCTCGCTTGGAAGAAGATTGCAGTAATGAGAACTGGGTAAAACTCTTTTTACCAACAATGAAGCTCAAACGCTTATTTCATAGGTTATTCGATGGTATTTCAATACAGATAGAGGAACATGCAAATCCTTCTGGTATGGTGGATGTGATTCTGAAGCAAGGAATTTCTTCCCAACTATCTATGTAATTTCTATTTTCTTTTTCTTCTCTTCTGATGCCTTGTTCATATTCATCTTTGTGTTTAGTCTTGTAAGACTGCTTGCGCTCATAAGTACCCGGTCGGAGAACAGAAGCCCAACTATGTTGTTCCAGCAGTCAACGGTCACACTACGACCGAATCTAGTCCAACTTCAAACTTAGGTGATGTTGTCGAAATTCCAAAAGTTATCGGTAATACTGTGAAGTTGCAAGTTAGCATACGACAACTTACGCATTCAGAAGAAAAATCCACAGAACATGTAGAGCCATTGCAAAAGAATGAAAGAGAAGCTGAAACTGGAGAAGTTGAATTGAACACGCAAGAAGAATCTGCACCTGCTAGAAAACTAGCTGAAGATCCCTGTGATGATGGATATGATGAAAAATGGGATGAAGACTGTGCAAACGATGACTGGCAAGTTCGTTCTTACTATGACCAAGCAAAGAAAGGATGTAAAAAGTAATTTGCTCAAAACTAAATTTCAAATTGCAAGTGAATATCATTAGATTCTGGTGGGGAGGATGTCTGACTGGAAATCGAAACTTGTGGAAGAACCAACAGGTAAGAAATTGAACGCATATAGTTGAACAGGTAACTTTCAGGATTGCGAGAAGCATTGTGGTCATAAGACGGATGAGGAAAAGAGTGGTACGACATCTCATTTTTCATCTGACATTTTGAAATATTCTCTCTCTCATTTTGACGTTCCCCATTCTCAATCTTCCCCAGATACCATTTCCTTCAAAGTTTCGACGAAGCACAAAAATTTTAATCATGTACGACAACATGATGACCCTCCTCTAGCACTTCCTCTTTATCAATCAACCAAACCTTCGCTGAACTCTCACTCCAAAGTCGAAAAAATAGCTTTGAAAGGTCTTAGAGTTCGAATGACTGAAACTCGTTATCTAAAAGGAATTAGACGTACAAGAGAACATGGTTCAGAGCCAGAAGCACCAATGGAGGATATCGATACGATGCCTACCTTGGAAGTAACATCGAATGCTGGAACAACTGAAGAATCAGTTTTAGCTAAACAAGCTTTTCAAGCAGATCTTAGTCGAAAACTGGCCGTTATCAAACGAACCGAAGAAGGACGGAAAGACCTCGCTTATAGTAAGGCCGTTGATCATCCAGTGACGATAGCTTGTATGTTTTCATCTATACTTTTAAGCTTCTTGTGGCTGTGAACTTTCAAACGTTGCTTTTCCAATCGATTATGGGTTTTTTCTGTTTAGTCGTATAGCACACTAGTTAATCTTTTCTTCACCAAAGATCTCGAGCTTAAAAGGGGAACGTCTAGTTTTATTCTGCTCAAGTTGTTGTTTTTCATCCAAAACGTTTTCGAATAAAAACTTTATTTTTCTCACTATTTCTATGAAAAGAAACATGGGAATCACATGGAATCACAGCAGACGTTCCTCTTACTATGGATGATTACGGTAGGTCTTGATCACATAGGTTACAGTAATTTTACAGCTTCTGTATGCTCATCAGCACCAATGTTACGGTAAATGCATGAAAACACTTTTTTTAGCGGAATGTTTGGATCCCTTCGATAAGGCTTTAGAGAAAACTTGCTCTGGGGGTTTGAGATGGAAAAACAGGTGAATATTGGAAGCGAAGGATGAGTCTGTAATCATGATTCTCAGATACTACTATGATCCGGATAGCCGAGAATGCAAAATGTTTTGGAATGATGGATGCTTCAGTACTTCACGAAACAATTTCGAAGATATTGAAAGTTGTTTATGGAAATGTGTTGGAAAGCATCCAGAGGCTTCCGGAAGTTATTGAATTCATCATAATGAGCTTTCATCTGATCTTTAAGGAGGTTGTCTTGAGAAGTTTGATGAAGTTTATCTGGGAGATTGTCGACACGGTGAATTCTCAACAAGATTCTACTTTGACCATCAAACGTCTGTGTATGCATTGAACCAATCCATATTTCATTCTGTTCCAGAAAGAAATGTTCAGCTTTCCATTGGGGAGGATGCCAATCATCCAATCTGAACTTCTATCTGGATTCAGGCGAATGTGCTGACACTTGTGAACGTCCACCTCGAGAGCTAACACGTTTGTCTATTTCCTCTTGACTGTCATAACCATTAGTCAAAATTAAGAAGC